CCAAAAGGATATAAACTTCTGCGGCAATTAATTTGTTATCAACTCTTCGTTCGACGAACGTGTCAAGGTGGAAGATCACTCGGCAATTCAGTCCAGTTCGATAAACTACCGTCGAGTCCTGACTAGAGTAAAACGTGCTGTGATGGAACTTGAACTCGATAGTATTCAAATCAGGGAAGAAAAAGGCCCCAAACATCGTAATGGAAGGGCATTTTCACGAAAGATGAAACGGCGAAGATTGGTGGACAAGAGAGGACGAATTCATGTGAATTACGTGAACGTACCTGATCGTGGGCAACTGTATTATCTTTCAGACCACTTCACAACTTTAATCGAAGCTCAGTGGAGATACGTTATTCTCATTTTCTCGCTGTCTTTTATAGTTAGCTGGCTGGTGTTTGGAACGATCTGGTGGGGAATTTACAGCTACCGCAAGAAATACCACGACATCGAATGTATTGAGAAAGTTGACTCGTGGACTTCAGCGTTCTTGTTCTCGTTAGAGACGCAAACAACGATTGGTTATGGAGGCCGACAAGTCACACCGCACTGTCCGGAAGGAGTAATTTGTTTGTTAATACAATGTATCATTGGTTTGTTAATCTCCTCCACAATGCTAGGTCTCATATTTGCCAAACTTTCGCGCCCTCACAAGCGAAGATGCACTATTCTATTTTCACGTCACGCTGTTATAGGTCCGCGTAATGGCAAACTTTACTTAATGATGAGAATTGCGGATTTGCGAAAAAGACAGCTCATAGAGTCACACATTCGTGTTTTTCTTATCGATCGATACGTCTCTCGAGAGAAAGAAAAAATTTGTTGTTTTAGGCAGCCTCTTTCAATAACTTGTGACAAGGACGATGACGATGACGAAAAAATATTTTTATTTGCACCAGTAGTTCTGCTGCACGAAATTAATGAACAGAGCCCCTTTTACGATTATTCGCCCGATGATTTACTTCTAAAGGATTTCGAAATTGTTGTACTTTTGGAAGGGATCGTTGAACCTACAGGTATGACTATGCAAGCAAGAACATCTTACGTGGGCGATGAAATTCACTGGGGACATTTATTTGTTGACATCATGCGGTATAGAGACACGTCAATCGACGGTGGCTGCTATGACATTGACATCTCGCGGTTTCACGAAACTTTTGAGGTGGAACTCCCGCGAGGGACTGCTAGAGAGTTTTACGAGAGAAGACTTGAAGAGAACGATGAAGAATGTTCCCAGTCAAATTCGCAACAGCATGAAATGAAGGAATTGGAAAACACCAACGAAACGGACGCAGCCCTGCGCAACGATCGCAGTGGGGTAGCCTTGATTCCGAACGGAGACGTGGGAAAGCAAGACGGAGTGACTAAATTATGACCACTTGTTTTGAGCTGGTAACTCATTCGTGAATGGAGTGAGATTGAAAAAAGCGAACAGTCCAGTCATAATCGAAAGCCCTGCTGTTTCCATAGGAAACAACTCTTTTTTCAGCTCTACAAGAGTCCACCATTTGTATTCAAAACGCATAAAAAGTTCTACGGTCATTTAATCTTTTTTGTCCCTTGACAATTGATTGGTTTTCAAGCAGAGATCTTTTGATCTTCTCGATCAATTTTGGTCATGTTTTTTTTTTAATAGCTCCGTTGTACCTAATTGAGCAGCATTTAGTTTCCAACGCACATTTTTAAGTGGCCAAGCCTGTGTTTTGTATTAGGCCTTCTCACAATGTGCCGGAAAAATTGGATTTGCATCATCATTTTTTTTCAAACTGTTAAGTTTAAGAGTTGTTGACTCAGTTATGACGAAATACTCATTCTTGTTTTTCCAATGATTCCGTTATCGCTTATTACGAGTTACAAATAGGTTGGCTTTTAAAATTAAACGGAACATTTTTTAACATTTTCTGTGAAACAAAGGTGATCGATAAAAAGTGGTTTGTAACATTTTTAGTTTTTATTACGAAGACCAGATGGTTAAGTTCTGACGCATACAAATGTTTTGGAAAGAAAACAATTATTTTTGTCAAACAAACTGTTGTTGGAATATTTGAATGTTAATATGCGTGTCTTTTTCCGTCTTAAAGAGTAGTCCTTTTAGACCAAATGGTTTAGTGGTTTGTCGAAAACCAAACCGAGAAAAAAATTGTTTTTCAGTTTTGTTCTCGATATTTCTACTTGTTTGCAATCTCTGCCCGTTCGGCCTCGGGTGATATTTAGGCATTGTTTTGTAGTTTCCACACAAAAATAATTTACCTTCTCTATGCATTCCTTATCGGTGATAATAGGGCAATTTGCTGTCGGCGGATTGTCGATATTGGCAATCCTAAAGTCTCGTTATTTTTATGCAAACAAAAGTTCTTTTGACAGTGATCCTTAAACAGGCCTTCCGGCGATAATCCGAAGTTGCAAAGAGTTAGCCCCTTTGTGCCTCACAATTATCTCCGAATACTATTTAATTCTTTTAAACAGCGGTTTAACCTATGACTTGAAAGTGGTCGATCATAGAATGAGCACATCACGCGATTTTTTTAACCAAACGAACCGTGTGGCCAGTATCAAAATTGACTTCGCGTGATTTAACTCAAAATGCGATATTACATCATTCGCCTCAGCAGGAGTTTTCACGCGATCCAAGTGATTAAATATGTTAATATCTTCTCTAGTTGGTAGACAGAGATAGCTATGACGCTTTCATGAAGTTGTATCTCCTTAGAATACTGAAATTCTCCTATGATTCATTTGTAAAGGCAGGCATGCTGCGGGCGCCTATAATTGTTGTTATGGACGAAACTACTCGTCAAGGACCTTGTATTGAAAAACACTTGTGCTGTACAAGCGGGGTAATAACACTTCGTTTCCAGGGAAACACAATAACAGATCGAGAAACAACACTTTCGAAACATCGGACTTAAAAGTTGCATCTAGCAACATCGGGATAACATGTTGAGACTCGTAACAAATCAAAACATGTCCGTCACGGTTCATTAACGACTACAATTGTCATGCAGGTTTACATCACCCTTCGAATGATACAGCTGCATGAATCATGAGTGCAATTTTTTCATAATTGCCGTCATTGTCAGCTAAACCAACATAGCAAAAATTGTCTTCCTTTCACGAGTGTGACACGAACAATACACGCGTGACATCATGCCTCTCGATTACTCGCGCGGAACGCTATTCGTGGTTCTGTTACGTAAATCCGGGGCCGTCCACAATCGGCTTCTTTACATGCAAGTGCTTCAACATGTCTACACGTCTTAAAAAATTTTTTTACTACCGGATGGTTGATCAGAACGAGGATGATCTAGCCATTGTTGACACTATTCTACCAATATGTGGTTATAATTTGTTTTGTTTTGTTTTTCATTCCGCTTTGACCTCCTTCACAGTTGGACGATGATTCACGTGAAACATTTAGCTTTATCACATGATCAACCACCACATTATATAATTGTCATAGGAAATAGTCAGGTTAAAGATAAAATAAACAATCAAATCGAGGGTTTTGGAAGTAAATGGAAGGGTGGTTGCCAAGGGGCATAATGTCCGAAAATATCTCTGCGGTTCGTAGGGAAGCAGGGTATTTATAATAGATAAAGGTGGTAAGTTTCTAGAGAAACTGTGGTGCTGCGTCGGTGGGAGAGTATAACAGGGTCATTTAGTGTTAGCCCCTTGTCAGCCCCTCGCTCTGACGAAGGGCTAACGATGGAAACGTCAGCCTTTTTAACTGTTTACGATAGCCAATTTACGTTATCAACTCAGTTGATAACACTAAATTACCCTATTCATGATGGGGGTGTTTATTAAAATTTTCTACTCCTGGAAAATTTTATGATCACCGCATTGAACAATGTTTGTTTGCTGAATCCCCGCCAGAACTTTTTTCAACTAAAAGCCGACAAGCAAAAAGAAAAATGATCTCATGACTGCTAATCAGAGCAACTCAAACTGATAGGGATCAAAAGAAACTAATGAATTCATGTAGGGGCGGACTAACACGAGTGTCTAAGTCGAGGGTGGTTTTAGTCACGTTAATTACACGTTAAATCGGTTGAAAAGGAGGGGCGGTTTCCAGATCAATCACGAAGCGAAGCAATCCTTTCTAACATCTAACACGAGAATAGACATGCTCCATGATCCACTGAGTCGTGCGCAGTCCGTCAGTATTGTTCAGTGGTCAGCAGACAACTTCGCAATAACTTCCAGTTCAGGCTTTCAATGCGGATAGTTCTAAAATAAAGAGCAAATTTAAAGGTAACCGCTAAATTTTCACTCAAACTCGCAGGTAACCGCTTAATTTTCACCCAAACTTGAAGGTAACCACTGAAAATCCACCCACAACTCACCTCCAAGGCAACTAAAGACAGTTGGTTCCGGTATGGGCATACGCACGAACCTGCAATGCTGGAATTTACCACGCAAATAGTAGGTTACCTACGAGAGCTAACGGACCCAAAAAGCTCGAAAAATAAGAACCTTAATCTGCTGCTTGCACTTTCAATTATCATGCATACTTAGGCGTAAATGCTCAACAACCTGAGAGAAATGCATGGAAAAGTCGAAATCATCTGTAAACACCAAAGAAAGCCTTGAGGCTAAGTTGCATTTTGACTGACATTAATTTGCAAGGGCAATCCTTCACATTCCAAGATGAGAAAATAAGTAAAAAAAGTTTAATCAATTTTAGACTGAATGTCTGGTCTGATTGTCTAGTGAAGACGAGAAAACGCTGCTACCAATCTCTCTACATTATTACTAAAACTGCGCGCGATGATAGCTTATGAGACAACTTTTTACGTATAAAACAACCTCCACCATTTGCTACTCTACAATAATCACTACACTATACTTGATGACGAGGTACAAATTTGCTTGGTACACAGACCTTTGTGAAAAATGCTTTGCCTTTAAATAGTACAGGGTGACGCAGAAATCTTTCACAAAATGGTATGTAAACAGAATACCTCAATCAAATAAACTTTGCAGTCGAAAAGTCTTCAGTTGTCCTTTGGTATTTTTCTAAGAACGATTCAATTTTTCCGCATATATTGAATAACAGCAATCTTCCGTTCCTAATGTTTTCCTTTTAAATCATACGCGGGAAATTGGTGTAAAGACTGACAAAAAATAATCCAATTACACATGACCGACTTTGACCACTGCGGTCACTTTTTCTGAGCACTGATTTTTCCCAATATGAAGGAGAGAAAGCACTTCATGGACTGAAAAAACACACGTTTCTAGGCCTCTTCCTGTTGTTTCTGCCTGTAATACTCTCTTGGCGAACACCTTCGCGTTTCAACCACACGTATGTCATTCAATCTAGAAAAATCGGCATGGTAGAAGCCTTTCTCGCTGAATTGAGACTTCTCCAGAGTGTTACAGAAGTCATAGCCCCACAAGATCTCACTGCTGAGGTAAGAAGACTTAGGCTGCGTGTTCAGCCCGGTCGCTTCAACCACTCCATCCAGTACTACCACAACTTCGAAATCTGAGCGCTGGAGCATTTGAGGTGTGACGTCATAAAAGGGACTGTTCTCGTCAATTATGTGGATGACTACTAGAGGCAAGAGTAAAAACAGTTTATTCCTGAAGTCGTTGTCAGGGTCACGCCAATCGTAGCACACTTTAAGATCCTCTTGGTGAAACGGGATTTCTTTTCCTTCTTTAGTAGTGTGAGTTCTGAATAGCTGCATTCGGACAGATGCGTCAACAATTTGACTCTTTCTCACGTCTCCAATTCGAAGCATCAGACACATTTTTCCATCTCTCGGGGCTATAACAGCATACTCCGAGAACATAACAGTCTTCCCCCGCTCTCGTGGTCTCGAGAGCTTGGCAAATGTCAGTCCTAGCATGAACGCGTCTATAAGTAATCCCACAAGGGTCTGAAGTTGCAGGACTATGACTGCCTCAGGGCATTTTGTTGTGATTGCTTTCTGCCCATAACCAATTGTTTCTTGAGTTTCAACAGAGAAAAGATAAGCAGCTGTAAAGCTTCTAACCTGTAAGAAGAAATTAAGCTTAGAGTTTTTGAAAACATTTAAAAATTTACTCTACTTTTTTCATACGGTAAGTCTCTATTCACTAATACCACCTTTTAACCCATTAACTTTCATAAGTGACCAAGAAAGACTTTCTCCTTACAATATCAATACAATATCAAGCAGAAAAGTGATGAGAATAAAGAAAAAGATCAATTTGGGGATAATTAGTTGACCCAAAACTAACTTCTCTGAACAAACATTATAAGAATTGTATGATTGACAATAAGGAGAAGTACAAATTTGATCTGGGAGTTAAAGGGTTAACCACTTAGAGACACTGTTCTTGAGTATATAAACAATATAAGAAAAAGAGAATTCAAATAAACTGTATGAAAGGGAGTAAATTTGGTGAAATAATAAAGAAAATGTTTCTTCTTCTGGTCACAACTGTGGAACAAAGAAAAACCTACGACTCCCCGTGAAGGATGAGCCCCAGACCTCCAGATTCTGCTCCCCTGTGCTTTACTACTGAGCCACAGAGAACTATGTGAGTTACTAAGCCGTTGTGAGGGTTATAAGTGATACACATCTTGCATACACTACTGCTATGATTGGCGATTTTGAAAGCTTTGCGAACATAAGTAAGAATAAAAAAAAGGTGGTAATTTGATTAAAATCCCAATTGACAGCAGAGGAGTTAATTCCTGTGCTTTAAAGGAAAAAATCAGATTGAGTGTCCAGTTGAAGATTTAATCATAGAGGCTGTGAAATTCTGATCCAGCTCCCTTTAGAATAAATTCATGATTACATACATCTCAGGCAATCACCATCATTTGGCCAAGTAACATTTTTCATATAAAAATAATTTTAAAATATGCCCATAACTGAGTTTTTCTAAACATATCTTGGACAATAGATATCTAAGGTGCAACACAGATACTGAGATCTTTGAAAGAAACAACAGTAAAAGCACCCCTTGAGTCGAGTACTTTCCAGGACAGTGCCTCTAATGTTTTTCATTCATTACCCTCTGCTGCAAGGAACTCTGTAGTTTTTGGTGATATTAAAACTAAAGTGAGGAAGTATCTTATAAATAGGGTAAATGTACGTTTGATTTCTTGATTTGTATATACTGTATTCTGGATTACTTAATTTTTTATTTATTTATTTTAAACAAATAAATAATTATTTACTTTTTAATATTAACGTAAATTTTTATAAATGAAGAGCCACCTTTCAGTGGAAATACTGTAATAAAGTTATTATTATTATTATTATTATTATTAGAAATTCAAAGATTTAAGCCATGCAATTTTAATCCAGCTCCAAAAACCACAATCACAACTTTTCCTCAAACAATTTGTCAACTATTTATGATAACAAATTATAATAACCATCATAATAATTATTGCGTAACCAACTTATTTTGAACACATGCTGAAAAATTATTAAAACCTAATAATTTGCTGGCTTTCTTTCTTTTGCACCATTATCATAACAAAGGAGAGACACTCTAGAAAAAAGGTTCAAAAATTGTTGGAAAAGTTTCTTCCTCTTCCATTCCTATTTGTTGCAGAAATTGTCCATGAAAAATTCCAAAGAAGAATGGGAGTGCAAGAAAATTTTTTTTGGCAGAAAACAAATTGACCTGGAATCTGAGGTAGGTAGGTCTTTATAATTAACTGCTGTCAACATAAGTTTAGAATATTCGCCTTTTTGTACAGTTTTTTTAGACTGAGTGCAGTAAAACAAGAACCAAAGCACTCATAATAGCCCATCAGAACTGAGGAAATATAACATGGCACCCATCAAAACTTGAAGTAAAAACAAGCAAACACCTAAAGCGTGGGGAAGAAAAAAATGACAGAATTGCACTTGGCTGAAGCTTTGAATCTGATTGGTTGATAGAAGGGCACAAATTTCTTGGACCATTCACAGGGCACACAGCATTCACAGCAATCCCAATCCCAAATTACTCATGACCTCAATTGCCTAAGATAAAACTAGCAATGCCTGTTCAATGATTTTGATAACTTGGTTATTGTCCTTGAGAGGTTGGCTTGCTGCTTTGGTGATTAAATACTTAAAACTATGAATGAGTAGCAGAGTAACTTGGGACAAGAACATTCCACTCAATTTTGGTGAAGTTAGGAAAAGCTCTAAACCCACTGAAAACTGGCTTGAGACTTTTGCTGTGATAGGTAAAGGCAGTTGGTAGTTTTAAAAGAAAAAGCCCCATAAAAATAGCATGGCAGAAAATAACTTACAGAACTTGTTTGAAATCGATACTTAAGCCCACCCCTTCTTCGACAGAAGAGCCTCCTGTCCAACCCAATCCCCCTCCCCCCTCTCCCCTCCCGTTGTCAAAAAAATAACACAAAGCGATGGATATAACCATGTTCTTCATGTTATTATTGTGACTGTCATGGGTGACTAGATCTAACGGAAAACTTGAACAATTGTGCTTAACATACCTTCTCAATGCAGATTGTTGAGCCCCTCACATACGCTATCAGCCACCAAATGAAACCAAAAACAACCCATGAGATGATGTAGCTGGATATAAATATAAATATGACCCATTTCCAGCGCAAATCTATCATAGTCGTAAATATGTCTGCAAGATAAAGTCTTGTTTTACGAGGAACATTCTTTGCAAGAACTTTCAGCTCACCAGACTTGTTGACTAAACGGCGTTTGTCGGTATCCAGCAAAATTTTGCCTTTAGTTTCACCGCGAGGCGAAGCGGAGTTGATCGACAAGGCAGATGTAGGAACGCCAATGTGTTCTTCGAGCACAGCTCGAGTTCCGACGTTAACTGTAGTTGTGGGCTCTGTTTCCTCGTCTCGATCACTTTGGAAGCTGTCATTCACAAGATATTCTTTTGATATGCCAGGATCCATGTCTTGTTTGGAGGTGACCCTTCACATAAAAACCTTGTGTACACTAGGAAGTAAAATGTTGCGTACGACTGGAACAAGTTTATTTTCCGTGTGGAGAGAGGGCATGGGTCGAGTGAATTGATCATCTGCATAAAAAGTGTAAGTTCCGCGAATTTTAATTTTTTACGACATTAAGGATCAAACACTTTCAAATATGGAAATTAAGAACGCGGTCTAGTTAAACGCGAAGTAGTTAAACACGGACTAGTTAAACGCAGACTAGCAAAATGCGGACCAGTTGAACGCGGAATAGTTCGACGCAGAATTATAAAATGTGGACCAGTTGAACGCGAAGTAGTTAAACACGGACTGGTTAAACGTGGACTAGTTTAACGCGAACTAGTGAAACGTGGACTAGTCTAACGCGGACTATTGAAACGCGGACTGACTAAACACGAACTAGTTATATGCGGACTAGTTAAACGCAGACTAGTTAATCGTGGCCCTATTAAACGCACACTTGTTAAAAGCGGACTAGTTAAACGCGGACTGGTAAGATGAGGACTAGTAAAACACGGACTAGTATAATGCGGACTAGTAAAGTGTGGACTAGTTTAACGCGGACCAGTTAAACGCAAACTAATTAAACACGGACTAGTTAAATGTGGACTAGTAAAATGTGGACTGGTTAAACACGGACTAGTAAAATGTGGACTGGTTAAACGCGGACTGATTAAATGCGGACAAGTAAAATGTGGACTAGTGTTAAATGATAAAATTACAAATATAGTTAATCTACAATATCGTAAGGGTTTCCTGTATTGGTGACGGAAAGAAAAGGAATGGAAAAATTATAAAATTTTTAGTCATTTAATGTAAGTTATAAAAAGGGCAGGTTGATTACTTCGTACTCCTTCTTGATGGTCTTATCTTAAAGGTTGAGTTTGATCACGTTCTTCTTGTGAGTTTGGCCACGTTCTCCTAGTGAGTTTAATCACGTTTTCTTCGTTGTGATCGTGAGGTTGACATGGAACTCGTGATAAGCCATGTTCTTAAATAAGTTAATTTGTTAGTCCAGGCTGGTGGTTTTGCGATTTTGCTTTGATTTCCTGGCTTTTCTTTTGGTAGCCTGGTTTCTCCTGGTTTTTCTTTGAGTTCTCTCTAATTTTCGTTCAGTTTTCTCTAATGGCAAACAAAATGAAAACGTCTATATGCCACGCGCACGTCGAGGTTCTTGCCCTCTAAAACGTTCGTACTGGAACTGTAAGTTTTAAAGAAGCACTTGTGGGAAAGAGCGCGGGCAGCGAGGAGGTTGTTGATAAGCCCGAGGTCCTCCACCAGCTTGTTAGAAGTAAATTCTCTAACACTCGTTGTTGGTTTGGTTGATTCTTCTTTAATTTCTTTTCTTCTCAAGTTGATACAACGGGGACTAGCTTCAATATCCAGGGAAAACTAGCGTCTCCGCTTATAAAGGTGACACTGCGGATGACATTTCTAAGCCGTCAATCTTCTTGTGTCGTCATCGTACCATCTCAACTAGCGAATCACGCTTGACTACGTATTATAGTTCCCACATACTGAGTATGCACCTTAGGGTTGTTTACGCAGTTACAAAATCAATTTCTACCTTTATTTTCATATCTTTACGGTTGAGATCGGTCAGAACAGAAACGAGATCGACAATATAAAAATTGCAAATAACCTTAGTTCAGAGTATTATTTATACCTGAAAGGGTATCTTAAGAGAAAATCACCTTTAAAGATTGTTACATAACAACATCTTGGTCACAAGAGTTAAAGAAGAAAGGCGTTCACAAGTACCGCCCCCAAATTTGCTTTCGGTTGCGGAACATGAAGGGTATCACCTGTTTACACCTTAAATTACCTCTGGGAACAAGAGGGTGTCGAACGCGACCTATTACCAGGGAGATTTACTCTTCCTGGACTAACAAATTAACTTATTTAAGAACATGGCTTATCATGTGTTCCATGTCAACCTCACGATCACAACGAAGAAAACGTGATTAAACTCACTAGGAGAACGTGGCCAAACTCACAAGAAGAACGTGATCAAACTCAACCTTTAAGATAAGACCATCAAGAAGGAGTACGAAGTAATCAACCTGCCCTTTTTATAACTTACATTAAATGACTTAAAATAATATAATATTTCCATTCCTTTTCTTTCCGACACTATATAGATTAACTATATTTGTAATTTTATCATTTAACACTAGTCCACATTTTACTTGTCCGCATTTAACCAGTCCGCGTTTAACCAGTCAAAAGTAAAGTGTGGACTAGTAAAGTTTGGACTGGTTAAACATGGACCATTTAAACGTAAACTAGTTAAACGCGGACTAGTTAAACGCAAACTAGTTACACGCGGACTAGTAAAATGTGGACTAGTTAAACACGGACTTGTTAAATGCGGACTAGTAAAACTGGGAGGACTAGTTAACCACGGACCAGTTGAACGCAAACTACTTAAATGCGGACTAGTTAAACTTGGACTGGTTAAACGCGGACTAGTTAAACGCAGCCTACTTAAACGCAGACTAATTTAACGCGGACTTGCAAAATAAGGATAAAAGATAGCGTTTGTGGTCTATCGTCTTTGTTTTCTGAATATAAAGGCAAACAACAACAACAAAAATACCTGCATCAGGGACTCTGCAGCTTACTGACGTTCTTTTGCTACTGGAAAATCAAAATTACTTCGTTATGGTTCTTTGCCCCAAAATACATGATTTAACTAAAGATAGCGAAAACGAAACTTTTTAACTGATCAACCTAAACCAAAGATATTTTGCGGTCTCTGTCCTCCATTGAAGGAAGAGTCAGTAAGTATCGAAGGCGTGACTTTGCACTAGCGTGATGAAAGGTAGGTTATTTGACACGTGATAGGGCAAATATCAAGGCTCTGCAGTTACGCTCGATTCGTGCTTTGGGTTAGCAGAATCAGGCAGGGTGCGTATTTATACGAGTTACTTCTTGTGCCTTCAAGGTCAATGAACCAGTTGGCCCAGCTGCACTTAAGACTCTTCCCAAAGTGAACCACATCTGGCAAGACAGCAGCAAGGGACAGTTCTGCAGGCAAGGTCTCATTCTTTGCACTAGAATTCAGTGCCAACAAGGCCTTCTTATAACATTCCTCGCAACCAGTTACAATAGCCATGACAAGGAATCTGTTGCACTTTAAGCCCTCTGCGAGACAGGTGTTACAAGCTCTAAAAGAAGGTATGTGCGAGGTGTGGTCCTTTTCCATGCAATTTGCGCACACAGACTTAATTGCTAAACAGTCATTACAGCTAATTAAACATGGAGATTTACAAGACAACTCCTTTAGACCAAGGAACTAAATAGGTTACTTTTTCAGCGCCAGTACGGTGTTTACATCATTGATAGGAATGCGGCTTCTGTGACGCTCAAATGCCGTTGCCGAATCAATTCGATAAAAGCTTACAGCTGCTTTTGAAATACCAGTATTGACAACCATCGCGTAAGTTGACGATCGAGTTAGGTTTCAAAGATCATATAACGGTGACATATGACCTTGATGTGGATGGTTCATGCGTCCATTACTAACGAAATATGACACTCTCGCGTACTCCTACTGGTATGTGATAAAAAACGTACTTTTACTGGACAAAGTAAATCAACTGTCCTTATTTTACATCCAGTTTTAAGGATATTTAGGGTGATCCGGTCATTTGTCAACTGTCAGTAAAAGCCCACCACAAATGTTAGTTGTCGGTTAAAATTTTGGCCATTTTTCAGATGTCAGTTAACCCCATCCAGACCCTCTTATATCAATCACCTCAATATTGCATTTAAAGGAGAGAA